CCAGCTGCTAGTAGCTTTTCTGTAAGAAGTTTCAAAACATGTTTAGAAACCTAACAAAATCATGTTAAACTTATAACGTGTAGCGCTGAAATGGATCTTAGTTTTGTTGGATTTGACGCAGAACCACATGCTTGCCATGATCAAATATCACTCTATTCCTTCCATTTATTTTAGCCATATCATCAATTCCATTTTCTGCGTTCATTGTTTTGACCATGTCTTATATTAATCCTGATTATTGGGCAATAATCTAAATTTTCAATAGGGTTTAGGTTTTTAATTTATCATATGGAATATTTTAAAACGGCCTTGATTGAAAACTTGTGATTGCGTTGTTCACATTAAGCTGATTTTGTCTGTGGAATGAATGCAGACCGGAGCTTTGCTTCTTGATGGGGGTACGTTGAATTACTTCGGGAAACCCATCCCCATCAATCTTATTGTTGCCGTTATTGCTGAGATAATTCTTGTGGGTGGTGCAGAGTACTATAGAATTATCAATGGCCTGGTATGTAACATTTTAATTTGGAAATTTGTTTGCTGTCCAATCCATTTATTTGAACCTTTTTATTTTATTCCTTGGGGGCCAACTTCCTCTTAATTTATAGAGCCTAATCACATCCACTTAATTTCACCTTAATCATGAAATTTTTCCAAATTCAGCGTCCAACTTGATCATGGTTTCAAATAAATTAATGCAACAAAGTCCAAATGGAAGTAATTTTTAAATTTGAAAGTTAATATTTTACAGTACTTGAATTCTTTTTATTTGGGACATTAGCATATATATACACAATGGGAGTTTCTCCATAAGTTCCATGGGGTAAACACTTGCTTCCATGTAGTGAAACCAACACGTGTGCTTGATAATCATGTTAAATTTGCTAACAAACCAAGACTACACGTATATATGAATTTAAGTTGGACAATCAATTACCTTTTACTGAGCAAATTCTTTAGCAAGGCATTCTGGAATTTGATGTTGAAATTGATAACAAAAAAAGAAAAAACGTTGTTGAGTTGAGTGACATGAAGTCGAAAGATTTGATAAGAACGAACACGAAGATATGAATAGGTTGACCCTTTTTATTACTTAATTGCATTAACAAAATTATAATTGATATGAATATAGCACATCAAAACATATATACACAATTATCACGTCCCCATCATACTTTTTGACAATATCTTACTTTTACAATACCATATTATGTTTAAATATTTGAAATATGTTTATAATTCAAAGAGGTTTATCATATATATGCCTTTTATCTTGTAGTTCCAACCCTACATAAAAAATTAATTTAAATAATTAAGTATTTTCTTTTTGGATCTAAGGTGGAGGATGAGGATGGAAGAGTATATGTTGGAGATTGAATCTGCTAGTTCCGTCTTAACTTGAGCAATCATCGAGTAATACATACATGTGTTTAAATAATTATAAAAATAAAGTTAAATAAGTAGAAGATGAATGAGAATCATTGCTCTAAGAGTATTGGTAAGAAATTAAGAGTTGAAGGTTTTTTTACGGTGCAAGTGAAGGAAGCATGGTATTTGATTAAACCTTATGATCAATGGGCTCAGCTCTGGGTAGTTGCATAGTTATGTGCATGGACCCATCACCATCATTACAATTTTATGTTTGGCATCTTGGTTATTAAAATTTTCCCCTTCATTATTTTTTCATCCTTTCTTTTTCGCACTTGCTTTCTGGGGCATTATGTCAGTGAAATTTCTGCATATTCCATCAAAAGGAGATGCTCTTCATGATGATGTTGACCCTGGGTCATAGCATCCTAAATTCCTAATAGAACAATCACTTATAAGTGGTATTCACCATCTAAACATGCAAATGCCTTTAAAGACAAAGAAGAACTTCCAAACTACTGAAAATCCCGTCTCCAATGGACCCTTTTGTAGCTTATATGTGTATGTTTAAGTTAAAGCTCAACAGAAGTGAAATTAGTGAATTAATAAACTAAACACAAGTACCTTGATTAACATTCACACCTTGTCTAGTGATGTGGAGCTACCTTTGAATGTAATCCAAGTTTGTTAGTGGTAATTTGAATAATATTTTTATGCTTGAATACTACCGAATACAAAGGACAGAATGAAAACAAGTCCCTTATAATTCAATATATAATATTTCACTTTCAAGAGTAAATGAAAAGGTGGGGTGAAAAAAAAAACTTTTTTTTTCTTTTTTCTGTTAAAATGAAAGCAAGGCCTATCATTCCCTTTTCTTTTTAATGGAAAGAGGAGTAAAATAGTCATACATATCATTATATTCCTGTAAGAGAGGCCTTGTACCTCTGCAAACATGGGAGATTTGGCAAAAGGAGTATGGAATAAATCTTGTAAATTTCTATAAAGTAAAAACATTACAATTTCAAAGCATAAAACTCTTATTCAGGAAACAATACTCTTTACAATTTTAGTTTACATAACTGAGGTACGATTTTATTTATTATTATTATTATTATTATTTTCTTATTTACCTTTTGACTACCACTGAGACTCCATGCAGACCCAGTTGGACTAATTTGGATGGGACTCATCTAAAGTACGAAACCAAGCTATAGCAATTCCAGGGCCTCAAAAGCAACGTTCTTGAGTATATTAAATACTGTGCCAAATGCTCTTTTTGGAAGAGTGTGATAAGATCCTTAATTACTCAATTTTGAGGCAGAAATTAACCAAGCCATGGAGACATAGTTTTCAATAGTTTACAACTAAATAAGCTTTATACTCCAATCTCTAAATTAATAAGAGTAATTATATATCATCTTATTATTTGTTTTTATTTATTTTCTTAACATTTAACTTAAGTAAATACTTATTAAATAAAAATATGAATGCATTTAACATTCTAAAATATATATTTTTATTTAGAATAATCTAATAATTGTTATCTTTGTAGAGGAATTTAACCTGCACTTCCACAAAAAAGAAAAGGGCTGTTTCAGCTTGAATTTCCCATATAATTTACTAATCCATACTGGTAATGACATAGACCAACTTTATCACATGACAAAATAAAGAGAACAACTTTATCAATGTTCCTTTTGGGTAAAATGTTTTTACATTTTTCTAGATCTTAATCAAATGATTATAATGAGATTTTCTGTTTCTCAAGTATATTGTTTTGTTGTATTCTGAGAATTACAGAGCAAATGTAACATTTCATATTGCCCTTATGGTTTTTCATAGATCCATTTCTTGAATAACGTCTGTGTCCTCACAATAATTTGACTATGCCTTTGTGGTCCAATTCTCCGCTTAGAAAATTAATTGGTCCAGCCAATTTGATAGTTACATGTTCAAAAGACTTGTAATTCATTCTCTTCTTATCTTGGTTTAGGGTATAGTATTTAAAAAGATAAAAATTATATATAATTCTTTAATTTTCTAATATTATTTATCTATAAAAATTAGAATTTTATCTTGATTGCACATGATCATATTAAAGGCAATATTTTACAATGAGTTAAAATATAATATGTTTAAGTATTTACAAATAAAAAGTTTTTATAAAAAAAAAAAATACAGTTGTATTAAAGTTATGAAAATATAATAAATATATTTTTTAATAAAATTTTATTATTAATAGCTGTTGATCCAAGCTAAGTTTAAACATTTATAAATAAAAAAAATTTATGAAAAAAGTATACAATTATTATATTAAAATTATAAAAATATAATAAATATTTTTTAATAAAATTTTATTATTATTAATTATTTATCTAATAATAATATAAGTATAAAAATTTTATATTTAATTTAAACTTTTTATTTAATTTAAATTTAATGAGTTATAATTTATTATTGTATTAATAATTAAATTTAAATTAAATAAAAAAATTTAAATTAAGTTTAAATTTTTTTAAACTTTTACACTAATGTAATAAAATTCTGACCTTCATGAAATATTATAAGTAAATTATTGCAATAAACAAGCCTATAAGAACTACTCGGCACGCAACCACGGTAAGGAGTAGAGGGGTAGCAGGACAAGTAATTAATACACTTCTTTTATCATTTTAAATATAACTTTCATTTTTTAACAAAACTATTAAAATAATTAATATTATTAAAAATTATTAATAACACACTTTCAATTCATAATTTCATATTTTTTAATAACCTTTTTAACTTCTCTAAGTTTGATTGAAATAATAGGGCATCTACAACGAATTGGAAGATACGTTTCAGCACAGTTACTGTGGACCGGATAACAGGGAATTTGAATTTTGAAAAGCAGTGGAATTGCCATGCGCTAGGCGCGTGAAACATCTGCTCCCAAACTATCACGTGGCAGAAGTAACGCTGTTATCTCTGATTGTGGGACCAATAAGCCAGACAAATTAAATTCCCTAATCCCTATTCCCTACCCATTAATTGGTACATTTTCAGATTTTGGTTTTTTTTATCCATTTAAATAACATTTATTTATTTATTATTCTTCTCTACTTCATTCGATCGTCCAAAAAAGCATTTTGGCTTTAAACTTTCTAGATTCATTAGCCCATTTTATCCGTGTATCTTACATGAAACATGCATCACAATCACTCGTTGCATAAAACCAGCGTAGAGAAGAAAAATCTAAAAAGATAATTGTCCATAATGTCAATCATTCAAAAAGTTGTCTTTTATAATATTGTTAATTAAGTGTATTTAATAACTTACGTTTAGATATGAATCAAGTGTTTTATAATGACGCATGAGAGAGTGCATCAGAAAATTGCCAGCATTGAGTGTCCAACATTCCAACAGAAGTTCCATTCCACGAACACCACTTTTTCATTTCTATTTTAGTACTTGACCTTGTCTTGTTTGTATCGTTTCTCAGTTCCTTCTAAAACTCTCTTTTTGCTTGACATAGAGCGTTTCACAGCTAGCTGAGTTCAAAACCTTAACTCGTTGCTGTAGAGTGAGAAGAGGGGAACATTCTATTTTGAATCCTAAACCTTTTTCTTTTCTTTTCATTAAAAACGGAAATGGGTTTTTCAGTACTGCTACTCTTTTCTCTGTTGTTTTTCCTCTTAAACCCAACATGGGTCTGTGGGAATGCTGAGCTAAGAGCACTCATGGACATGAAATCAAGTTTGGATCCTGAGAGCATTTATCTATCCTCTTGGACTATCAATGGTAACCCATGTGATGGATCTTTTGAAGGGGTGGCATGCAATGAGAAGGGTGAAGTGACAAACGTTTCATTGCAGGGAAAGGGTCTCTCAGGGAAGCTTTCACCAGCCATTGGTGGGCTTAAGCACTTGACAGGACTTTATTTGCATTATAACTCTTTGTATGGAGAGATACCAAAAGAAATTGCAAACTTGACTGAGCTTGTTGATTTGTACTTGAATGTGAATAATCTTTCCGGGGAAATCCCTCGTGAGATCGGCAGCATGGAGAACTTGCGAGGTTTGTAGCTGTGATCCTGTTGAACAAGTTTGAAACTTTTGTTCTGTGTCTTTGTTTTTCTTTCTCAAATGTCGCCGTATTTAAACGTTTGTTTCTTTTTGCGTGAGTACTTAGTGAAGTGTCATAGAAAGATTTGAGCTTGGTTTTGCTTTTATTTTTCTTTTAAAAAAGCTTCTTGTTTGTCTTTGTGTACTCAAGTGGTGAGGAGTGAGTCCATTTACACTTGTTCCAAAATATTTTCCTTTTTAACAGTGTGGTTCAAACATGGTAATGTGCTTACTTAGCCCTTGTCACTTGCAGTTTTGCAGCTTTGTTATAATCAGTTGACAGGAAGCATACCTACACAGCTTGGTGCTTTGAAAAATCTGAGTGTTGTTGCTCTGCAATCAAACCAGTTAACTGGTGCTATCCCTGCTAGTCTAGGTGATTTGGCTATGCTGGTGAGGCTAGATTTGAGCTCTAATTATCTCTTTGGTTCCATACCCACTAGCCTAGCTGATGCTCCTTTATTGAAAGTTTTGGATGTTCACAACAATACCCTTTCAGGGAATGTACCTCCCGGTAATTATGATGTTACTGCACATATTTAATTTTTATTGGTTCTTATGTTTTGTTTATCTGAAATGATCAATCTGAAATATGTTTATTTGCTTTTGCTTGGTTCAATGAAGCTCTTAAGAGGTTAGATGGTGGATTTTTGTATGAATACAACTTGGGGTTATGTGGACTTGGGTTTTCATCCCTGAAAGCTTGCAATGCTTCAGATTATGTCAATGCTAGCAGACCTGAACCTTATGGAGCATCAACAAGAGATATCCCAGAAACTGCGAATGTGAAGTTACCTTGCAGTGGAACTCGGTGCTTTAATTCGTCAAAATCGGATCAGGCCACAGCAGTTACAGTTGGCATATTTGTGGTTATAATTGCAATGTTAGCAATTGGTGTTTTGACATTCACACTCTATCGTCGGCGAAAACAAAAACTTGGAGATTCTTTTCATATCTCTAATAGCCATCTAAGTTCTGATGAAGCCAAGGGTGGATATAGGAAAAATGGATCTCCTTTAGTCAGCCTTGAGTACTCTACTGGATGGGACCCTTTGGCTGATAGTAGGAATTTCACTAGTTATAGCCAAGACGTGTTCCAGAGTTTCAGGTTTAACTTGGATGAAGTGGAGTCAGCTACTCAATATTTCTCGGAGTTGAATTTGTTGGGTAAGAACAACTTCAGTGCAACATATAAAGGAGTTTTAAGAGATGGATCCGTTGTTGCTGTGAAGAGCATCAGTAAAACTAGTTGCAAGTCAGATGAAGCTGAATTTTTGAAAGGATTGAACATTTTGACCTCATTGAGGAATGATAATGTAGTGAAGTTGAGAGGGTTTTGTTGTTCAAAGGGGAGAGGTGAATGCTTTCTGATATATGATTTTGTTTCGAATGGAAACTTGTCGCACTTCCTTGATGTTAAGGAAGGAAATGGAGAAATCCTTGAATGGTCAACTAGAGTTTCTATTGTGAAAGGGATTGCTAAAGGTTACCCTTCTATATTACCTTTTATTTATTTATTTTCCTCTAACTCTTTAACACTCTTGAGATTTCTAACATATAATAACGAACATAATGATAAGAAAATGGCAAGACTAGGAATTGGAAATGTGATCTTTTTATTACTCAGTGTAATTAGAAGACATAAATACTTTCTGTGATTTCCATTCTAGAAGTCTATATACTAAACCTTGTCTTCTTATTTCTTAATCAGGTATGGCATATTTACATGCATACAAAGCAAACAAACCGGTTCTGGTTCACCAAAATATCTCAGCTAACAAAGTTCTCATTGATCAGCGGTATAATCCATTGCTGGCAGATTCTGGCCTGTTCAAGCTTCTTACTAATGATATTGTCTTCTCAGCACTCAAGGGTAGTGCAGCAAAGGGTTACTTAGCTCCTGAATACACCACCACTGGCCGGTTTGCCGATACAAGTGATGTTTATGCTTTTGGGGTGCTGCTTTTCCAAATCCTTTCAGGAAAGTTCAAGATCACTAGCTCAATAAGGCTTGCTGCAGAATCCTTCAAATTCCAAGAATTTATCGACCCGAATCTCCAAGGCAGATTCTTTGAATATGAGGCAGCGAAACTAGCAAAAATAGCTTTGCTTTGCACCCACGAGACTCCTTTTGAGAGACCATCCATGGCAGCCATTGTTCAAGAACTGGGCAACTGTAGTAGCTGTCTCTGATTTCAATGACTTCTTTGTTGCTTCATCCATCATCCTCCACAGCATGTGCTGAGTGGCTGATGAGACAAGTTAGTGCTAACTGCTCATGCTGATGACCTTGGGATATGATATTGTTAAGTGTCCTTATCTAAGGACCTTTTGTGTGAATGTGCCTTGTACACAGTAGGTTGTAGCTTAGAGAAAGGACATTTCTTTGCTCACATTACATGTAATTTTGTTGAATGTATTTTTATGTACAAGGTTAATGCCTCTTCAATTTTCAGTCAGGAATACAATCCTTCCCTCTATCCTTATTGTTAGTTCCCAAAATATATAAAATAAATATTTTACAACTAAAATAGACTTAGAATCGAAAAATATTAAAACTGAAACTTTTGTCGTAGAAGAATAATATATCTTCTCTCTAATTATAAGAGAGAATAATAACATTTTTTCTTGACAATAAGAGAGAACCTGGAGAAATTTTATTTTTTTCTTCTCTAACTTTTTCCTCTCCACATGTAACACTCAGATGAAACATGATGGCATGTATACTATGACTTGCTCAAATGCTATAAAAAAGTGACTTTACTGGTTCTCACACTTATTTACCGTACAACAATCTAAAGTACCAAGATTCTTTTTCTTGGATATAAGGTACCAAGAATCTGTCCATACTCTGAATTTAAATTATGAACTTTTTTTCATTTCTTTTTTCACCACATTCCGTTAAAAATCTTTTGCACTAAAACGTTATTTTTACTGACAAAAATTGGATGTATCTTTTGTCACGATCATTGCCGTAGTTATCAGCTTATACACGAACATGAAGGACCATTCATAGGCATTTACACTCACATGCCCGTGAAGATTTTAACTTCAAAGTTCCTTTTTGGTACAACTGCTATCTTTATATCCATGGGACCCGTGATTCACATCAGGTTAAATACGACTCCATTTTAACTTGCCTTAAAATCCCTTTTATCAAATAAAATATTCTACATGCGTTTTGGAATATATCAACAATTTTTTGTACAAGGAACGCATTAACATTTTAAAATTAATATCTATTTGGACGAAAATGGATTCTTTGCAGTGTTGACATGAACTAAATTATTTATCACTTGTTAAGGTTATTAATTTTTTTGAAGTTTTTTTTTTTGGGAGATATTTTAAATTTGTATACCATCTGATTTTATGTTGTTTGTTATTACAGTAAGTTGAAAAGGTTGAAAAGATTTTTTGTTTCTATTGTAACATTTTTTTTATCACCGTATTATTGGTACCTCGTTCATTGTAGGGATACAGCTATTTAGATTTGTTATGGTGTTTTGATTGATAAATCAGATGAGCTAAATAGCAACAATGGATCGGGCTGTAAGCTCCATCATCTCAATAAAGTGCTAATGGATTAGAAGTTTGAACTACAGTATAATTGAAATTTATCTTTTATAAAATACTGCTAAAATTATAAATAAAAGTTATTGATATATACGTTAACAATTAATATTATAAATTGAAGATACTACCAACAAACTGTTTTTAACATACTCCTAATTATTAGTTAAAATATTAAAAATTACAAAAATAATGTAAGTCTCACTTTTTCTTACTCAAATTAATATTTTCTTTCATATTTATGTAGTTTTCAACAAATGCTAGTGTGTTTAAAAGAGTTTGCTAAAGAGTATGATACTAACATTTCTCCTGTCAAAGTTGCAATGTGACCTAATATGCTCAATTGTAATCAGGCCTCTCACCAAAGAATTTTATTAGGCTTTATTTTTATCAACAATTTAAAAATATTACAACTGATATATGTTATTGTTAACCTTATTTGAACATTACAAAAAAGTTGACCGTATATATTGTATAGAATTTTTTTTATTTTATTCATATATAGAATTATTATTATTTTTTTATCTTATCCATGTACATGCATCTTAAAAAAATTAAAGAAAACAATTTTTGGTTATCACATTATGATGCTCACTAAACATTTTCCTATAGGAAGTGGATATTTGTCACAGAAGAATAGGATGTGATAGGAGAGATATGCAATCCCACACATAGGAGTAGGCTGTTTTAATAAATACTACTATGGAGTTAGGAGACCTTTGTTTGTGTGGGACTCAAAAAGAGGATGGATGTTCCCACATGCTTTGAGTTATTTGGGCTCGGTTGTCTAGTGGTTGAAGGATGTTCCTCTGCCTTAGCCACTCCCCATTGGGTCCAATATTTAGTACACCAGACCCCACCCCAGCCCAATGCATGGTTGCTCACTCATCAGTCAACACTCTGTGCCCAATTTCTCTGAAAACAAAAGGCCATCCAAAACAAATTTTCCCTGAAAAAGAAAAGAAAAAAAAATGGAGTAAGATGTAAATGAAATTTTGGGTTACAGACAAACAAGATATTTTAAAGACGCGTGACAAAAAAAAAAAAAAAAAAAAACTCACCATTCTAAGAGAACGTACTAGATGGATAGTATTTAATTACACACAGAAAGTGAATTATAAAAAAAATTAATTTTGATACATTTTTGGTGTAAAATTTTAATCTGTCAGTCAATTATAAAATTCAATGATTTTTATTAATATGGTAATTTATAATTAGATGATTTATGTATAATATTGTTTTTCTAAAATAGTTTTTTTTAATCTCCTTGTGTATATAGAACGGAAAACTCTTATATTTTTAAAAATAAAACTATCTAACAAAAAAAAATGGATTTTACAAATTAATAATCTCGTGAACTGATGTTGGTAGAGTTTATAATTCTTGCTGATTACAGGCCATAAGGCAGAAGTAGTAGGATTAGGAAGCAGCAACACTGCAACAGCTTATATCTTCAAAAAGGGGAAATAGTATATGAAGCAATTTTTGTAATATCTAAAGACAAGGGTTCTGAAGCTCACATGACACATGTTAATGCTGGCAGTGATTCCCAAACACATGTAGACATGGATTAGCTGTTGTTGAGTGCTGAATAAGCTGTTGCTATTGAGTTAATTACACTCTTACCTGATGCTAATACACAACTACGCAGCCAGAATAGTACGAAGGGTTGTGCTGTAATTTTCAGAGACAAAACCACTGGTGCCCCACGTTGAAGCAGGTAAGCAACTCGGCCCAAGTGGTTGTAATTTAATTAGAGTAACACAAAAATAGAGAGTTTGGTACTCTTAATGTTGTCTGTACAGCCTGTTGTCTGTACTGTGTACATACCAAGTTGGTGATGCTGTTGGGCCTAGGGGCTCTTTTCGTATTCCATTCACCTTCATGCTCTCTCTGCCTCTAGGTTTAACTATGATCAAGTAGAAATGGCTCATTTTTTTTTTAATATTCTGAATCAGGAATTTGTTTGGAAAATGAAATGCTATTCTTACAGAAATTTTACAGAATAAATTAGCTAAATTTTGGTGTGGAAAGAAAACTAGGATAAAAAGCTGCTTATTTATTGAAATATTGTTTTTGCTCTTATAATGTTTGATGCTAAGTAGGCATAACTCTTGTGGTAAAGTAAATTTGAAATTAACTTTTATATATTTTCTTATATTTAATTTTTGTTATTATTTTCTTTCTATTTCTCTCCCCCTCTTTTTTCTATCACATCATTTGTCAATTTTTTTCTTCATCTTTTCTTCGTATCACTCTCTTCTCTCTATCTATTTCACACCCATTTAACATTGTCAAGAGATTGCGTTCCATTTGAAATTGGGAGGAGGTCTCTTAATTGATTCTTAATAAAATTAATAAAAACGTATATTTGTGTTTGTTACTTTGACATATCTATAATTTAATTATTAAAGATGTTTCTGTTTAATTTTTGGAACAACTTTTAATCGTTTCATTATTTTTAAAGTAAATTTTAAGATATGTGTATGTACAAAAATGAAATAAATATATATAATATTATATATAGTATCAATTTTTAGTTCAAATGACAAAGTTATTGTATTAAAAACAGTATGCACGCGTTTTTGTAAGTATGGATCTTTATCGTATAATCTGCCCTTCCACTTTCTTATGAGTTACATATATTCAAAGTCCAACCAAAAGGAGATTTTGTGAGATTCACATACGTGCCCCTCGTGACTCCAATTGTCTTTAAGGAACTTTCGACGAAGGTGCTTACTAGTTTGAGTCTATAATTGCCATTTGTTATACGTGGCCTTTACACTATTTTTGTTAGAATATATATATGCGAAACGTAACAAATATTTTCAACCAATTTATCCAATTAATATATATATTTTTATAATCTGCTATATACATTGAAAAATAGGACTAACTCCTAGTGCTTCTTAATAGAAGCAAAATTTAGCACTCAATTTTGCCTAGAGTAAAACGAAGGAGATCCTAATATTCTAACATGCATATATATATATATATATATATGATTAAGCTTGAATCACTTTCCCGTGAGGAAATCTGACCCTGAACACATGTTCCTCGCCAGTGCATTTATCTACTTTGACAACCCAACGGCTTTTGATCTTTCCCATTCTAGTGGCATATTTTGGACTAGTGTCAGTGACCCCAAATCTAGTCACCAAAAGCCCTTCTCCTATAGGAAGAAGCTGTGTTTTTGATCCACATGACAAGCAAGAGCCTCTGCAGCTAAATGCATTGTAACCCACAACCACTGTGCCATTTTGCTTCCTACCCTCTTGAACTGCTTTAAGAATCTCTTCATGGTTCTCGAGGTTACAATCAATGAGCACAAAATCTGCTGCTTCATATTGGTCACACAAAAGTTCTTGAGCTTCTCCAATCATGAATTGAACTTGATGAGAAGCCATTCCCAAGGCCTTTCTGGAGGCCTTCAGCTCTTCATGGCCAGGAACAATGCAAATGACTTGGCCACCAGTTTGATGAGCAGCAGCAACCAATGCTAGTGTGGTGGAGTGTGCTGCAGCAGCACATGCCACAACCATAAGTTGTGCGTTGTTTCCAGCAGCTAGTGCTGATATAAACTCAGCCACATCTGGCTCTTTGCCCTTTTGACCCTGAACAAAAGAATCCATAAATCAGATCAAGAATACCATCATGTAATCTTAATTAAGATATATGTTGAGAGATTCAAGAAACTAGCTAGGAATTTTTTTGAGACGTGTGATATAGAATTATCGATACTCACCATTTTCAAAGTGCTAAGGTAGGCCTTTGTGGCATTTTCTGCAGACCAGCAAGCCATAACACAATTTCTTGGTTCTTTTAACAACTCTTAAGGCTTTCTTTTTGGATGGGAGAGGATTTGATGCAAATGATGAGTGGCTTGGCTTTGGTTCTTGCGCTTAAATATATATAGGAGCTACCAAGGGACCTCGCTGGACATGCTGGGTCATGTGTCATTCCAACTTGCGCAAGACAGAGAAACATATATCATAATGCAAAATGATATGTGTATACACCAAAAAAACAAAGCTTATTCGATTCCACGTGTATAATGTATACCAACATCGGGTAGGTATATATATTGAAAATATTTTTTAAAAAAATTATTTCAATAAAAAAGTGTTTCATAAATTATATAGGTATCTTCAATTTCAAATAAATCTTATAAACAAAATAATTAATAAAATCAAAATCAAAATATTTTTTATTGTTAATAATAAATTTATTATACTAAATTAAAGAAATACAATTTAAAAATAAATAAAAATAATTTATTAAAACACATCATATATATAGTGTGCCAAAATTTTAAAATATATTTTTAAAATTTAATTAATTTGATATGGTATATCACGATGTAAATTCAAATAATTAAGAAAAAGTATATAATATAATAAAAATAAGAATAATTTTTCAAAACACTCTAGCTCAAGAATAACGACTTAAATTTATAATATAAAAAAATAAACATTGTCACAAGCTACTCTCTTTTTTCATGTTAAAATAAACTGTTTGGTTGAGAAATTATTTTTTATTTTTATTTTGTTTTAAAAATTTATATAAAAATAGTGAAAATATAAATAATTTATTTTCAATATTTCCTATACAAGATGACAGTTTTGTAATTATTTTTATTTTTATAAAATTTTTGAAAAAAAAAATATAATAAAACTAAAGTAATAATTTTGTAATAAAACAAATAAAAATAAAAATAATTTACAAAAGCAAAAAGTCCCGAAATCTTTCCTTTCCTAATTTTCTTCTATTGGACGAGTCTATCTGGAACAACATTTTTTTTCCCAAGAAACACGATTTAAGATTGGGAAACGAAAATGGCAATACAAATGACACATTGTCTATGCCAAATAGAAACAAAATGGGTATATATACTAATTGATCTCATCAATCTTTCTGTTGACCAAGTAAAGCATAGGTGAGCTTCCTCGATATTGGGACAGCACATTAGAAAAATATTTAATAATTAATAAATTTTTGTGCTATAATTTATTTATTTTTTTAAAATAGATACATTATACTTTTTTTTTAGTTTAAACTTATATTTATTAATAATAAAATTTTTATCATATTAAATATTATTGAATTTAGAGATAATTTTTTTAAAATTTTAAAATAAATTATAAAAATATAAAATTTAAATTAAGTTTTAATTAAGAAAGTAAGTATTGAATGAGTCACCTGACGTAATAAAGAATAAAATATTAGTTTAAAAATATTTTTACTTAATTATATGAGCTAGTTCGATGAACTTAAAAAGATAGAAAATAATAAGATTGAGTTATATAAAAATAAAATATGAAAAGAGTAAGATATAATCTTATTTTATTTTATATCTGACACAAGTAAGTACATTAGGTTATCCTATTCTACCTATTTTAATCTAAGTCTAACACGGAATAAATTTTATAAAATAAAAAATAAGACAAACATAAATATATCATATCTTTTTTTTTTAAATAAAAAACAACTATAAAAAATTATTATAAAAAATATTACCTCACTATCTAATCTTGTACGTTAAATATATACTAAATGGGACCATACATTGTTAGAAAGATAAGACAAGATTAATCTAAATCTCTATTTATTCAGAAAATATATGTAAGAAACTTCCCATTCAAGCTAGCTTTCTTTTTCAAGCAATAAGATAATTCATTGCATTTAATTTTATAATTTTAAAATTAATTAAATCAAGTCTATTATTTTAAAATTTATAATATATTAAAAAAAGTATATATATCATATAAATTAATGATATATCACATTAATTAATTATTAAATAATTTTTTAGACAAAAGATTTCGTTTAAATAATTATAAGAGTTAAATATGAATAATTAAAATTATGTATCAACTAAAATACAAAAAAAATTAAAAATACAATAAAACCTATATATAAAAATATAGTAGTATTTTTTATTTTTTATTTTTTGTTGGAAAAATATAGTAGTATTTGTCAACGGCAGTCGTGTGGGTTATATAATATTAATATCAAATGGTGCCGTTGAGATTTTGTAAGAGCTGATCGTGATCCCAATTATATAAACGAATGTAAGGATATTATAACTGGTAAGATACCTGTGAATTTTTATAAATAACAGTTCTTGTTATTATTTAACTTTTTTTTTTTTTTCTGATAGTTATTGGTTTACGTATAAGATATTATATATCCTTTTATATCGTTCCTGTGTTCTAGAGCATATATATATATATAATAGGATAATTTTACAATTTCATCAAAGTATGCAAAGAAACACTTTAAAATACTAATACTTAATTATTCTTATAATAAATTTGAAAAGATATAAATTTTATTCAATCTAATTAAGACAAAATCAATGAATTAAATAACCATGATTTCTTAGTATTATAATCTTCAATATTAAAAAATTCATAGAATTAAGAAATAGGCACACCAGTTGGCCCAGTCTTACCATTGATTCTAATAATCTTTAAGGTAGAATTTCAGGATACTAATTAACAACTGATACAAACATTAAAAGTAATTCAGCATTTTAGATATGATGTCTTAGAATTAGAAAGACAAGAATATAAACCATTCGGGATATGAAGGTTAGTTTAAATGAATGTGTTCCTATTAATGACCTAAACCATGTGTTAGGTCAGGCAAAAAAGAACAATAATCTTATTTCATGCAGACACATGCACATTCATCTGTAATATCTACAGCGTCTTGGTTGCACGGATTGTCTCTACATTTCTTGCTCTTTAAATTGATATCACAGTGGATTAATTAATAAACGTTCACCAAATGAAATATGTATACAGGATTTGCACCATTAATGTTGGATTAGTTTATATAACAAAAAGCTAGCGACAATGTCCTTGTGGTTTTCAACTGATTAGCAATGAAAAATAAAATATAACCCGAGAGTAAACACGTCTACTTTAATAAAGGCCAGCATTGTGTGTGTTGGTGTATGAAAACTATGATATATACGTTCTTTTAGAGGTAATTGTATTTGAAGTGAAAATATATATAATTAAGGTTACTTTTTCATTAGATTTTTTCTATACTTATAAAATTTAAACTCAAGATTTTATTTTCTAGAAAATAAACATGTACCAAATTAAAAAAAAAATAGTATAAAAGAGAATAATTAAACTATCATACATGGACATAGTAATAAGTTCTTACCACGGTATTTTTCTTTTAGTGTATGTACATTTGTCTACCTTGTTAAATGTGGTTTTTTTTTTTTTTTTTTTGTTTAGTTAGTGCAAATTTAAACCATTTTACTGAAACGAGATTTTTACAAAACATATTTTTTATTAAGAATAAAAATAGTTTACGCATAATAATCATTGTTTACACTTGAGCCGTGCCTAATTTTTCTTTTTAACTGTTAATATTGGTTTTTTAATTGTCGAAACTTCATGTATAAGCTGATTAAAGGCCGACACATCTGGGCGTCGACACGTGTGGTGTAGTGTCGTCCACCGCATCTTTTATCCAATATATAGTTTCACAACTCTACGCAAACACGTTGACAGAAAATTTTATCAAAAAGTTAGAAGTTCTTGAGAGAAGGTTTTATCATATTAGAAATTCTGTCTCCGGTAATTTGAATTTAAATTTAAAATTAAAATTTCGTGTTTAATTTAATTTAATAATACTTAAAAGAAATTTATTTAATTGTAATTATAATATTATTTTAATAGAAATAATTATGAATAAAATATATAATAATAAAATATTAACTATCATGTAAATAATGGTTTTAATTAGAGTAAAAATAATTATTATTTTATGTGATTATTACTTGTTTAAATTATTAAAATTTTTTGTTTATGAATAAAATTTATCAACTGTATATAGTTGTAATATTTTACGTGTGAAAAGAAGAAATTTTAAATTAATTTGTTCAATAATTATCTCTATTAGTATTTGTTGTTATAATTATTTTTTTTTATATGTAAGATGAATAAAATTGTAGTTATTTGGAACACTAGATTGTAGAAGGAAATGATGATATAATTTTGAAAGAGAAAAAAATAATAAAGATAGAACGTTAAATTATATTTTTAATTTTATTTTTTATATTATATAATTTTATTATTTTATATTTCTCTATTTATTAACATTTAAAAATCTTTATAAATTTTTATGTTTTTAATTTTATAATTACAATAAATAAATAAATAATATTTCAATCACTTTTAACTAAAAAAAATACTTTCAACCTTTAAAATTGTAAATAATAAAAATTAATTTAACATAAATTTTAAATAAATAAATATATATCTATCCCAACATTATAATTATATATATATATATATATATATATATATGTGTGTGTGTGTGTTTAAAATTAATTTTTTTACTAACTAGATAAGCCTAAAACCATTCACTCCTATCAGCTCTAGTGTCCGGGTCTTGATTTTTTTTTTTTGTCAAATGTTAAAAAATGATAAATATAGAAGAAGATATTAAAATTTATATTTAATATATAATAAATTCTTTTCACTTTTTAACAACGTCAAAACAGGAAAATCACCAACTAAAAATATTAAAATTAAAGAAGGATTATATTAGTGTAAGTCTAAAAATTCTTACATTAAATCTGAATTTTTTATTTAACTTATATTTAAAAGTTAGTGAAGTAATAAATTATAACCGGTTAAATGTAAGTTAAATGAAAGTGTCAAATGAAGTGTAATGGTTTTTAGACTTATATTAGTGTGAGAAAATCTTACTTCTTAAAATTTGAGCTATTTAACTATCAAAATCTCTGATTTTTCTCCCACAACCATTTAACAGAATAAATAAAGAAGAAGTGCAAAGAAAATGAGGATAAGGT